CTAGTACTTGAGACACCTTTCATTCCACTTTCAGGGATAGAGAAATTAAAAAAACCAGCAACAGCTTAAGAATACTGCAGCCTCCCAAATCCTCATTTTGACAGGACTTTTAACTGCCCTGCATAACCGCGATTTCTTCTTTCAGACAGATAAAATTAAAAGGTTATTCAATAAAAGAAGTAAGTCCAATCCCAGCTAACTAAAGTCAACAGAGCAAAAGTTCTGCAAAACGAGACCCAGAGCACCTGTACAGGCTACAGTACGCTCATGTCTCATACGAGAGGGATGAAAGAGGAAGGCAGAAATAAGAGAAGGTATTAAGTAGATACTCACTTTGCAGTTAAGATTTTATGATCAACATCATCTAGAGATGAGCTGTGAGCAACGTGAAATGTTCCAAACAGGGTGTTTCGCTTCTTTTTAATTTTTTCAGCCTGGAACATCAACAGAGAAAGGTCACAGGAAGACAACGACCTCGTGTTTCCTCCAGGACAAGAATATCCTGGATGGGCTGAGACAGAAATAGTCCCTGCAGCTGTCTGCACACATGTAAATAGTGTGAATTGGGTTTTTACTGAAGGATGTTATTCGTCCTAACACAGTGGGTGAGGAATTCGCCAGCAGCCAGTAATAGGGTTGGGGGTTTCATGCTCCTTCTTGGCCCTTCTCCTGATTTCCTCAAAGTCAGAGAGAACTGAACCAGCTACATCATACAGCGAACGGCTCTCGTAAAGCCTTGTTTTGTCTTTCCTCGTGAGTAAACTACCAAACAAACACTCTTAATGCCCTAGGGCTGTTGGCTGGGGAAGTTTTTTGGTTTGAGTTTTGGTTTTTTTACCCTTCCCTTTGTGGCACTGTATTAAAAATTAAAGTCTCCACACAAAGCTCTTTCCTTCACAGATCTAGTGGCATTAACTTGGGACTTAGAAAAGATAAACCAAGGATGTGGACACAAGAACTGATGCAGCAAAAGGAAAACCATTGAAATGTTAAAATGTTCATAATAAAAACATACTAAGGCAGACAAATTTTTATACGCTGCCAGTTCCAACTGCTCTGTATGTCTGCAGAGACAAATACATGTTACAACAGCTTCCCTGCAGCTCATCGCTTTTTGGTTGGCACAGACAATTTGAAGCAACTGGGAATACAGAAATGATTCATCACTACAGATCGCACACACACGTTAGAAATTTTGTTGCCTGTGCACGCAAATCACCTAGAGCAGGGATTGTGCAAAACCTTCTGCTTACTGAGCACCCACAGTGCCGTCGCACAAGCAGTAATTCATATTCTGCACCTTCCCAGGGCTCCAGCCTGCCGAAGACACGCTAATGCAGCCGACGGGCATGCCCAGGTCCGTGCCTGCTGCGCCCTGAGAGGCAGTTGTTCATTTTCATTTTCAGCCCCTACTTACACCTCTATGAAGGTTTGTGCTGCACTTTTAAAAAAATGCAAATTTAAGGCATGAAAAGGGAAATAAAGAAGGTGCAGAGAAGCCACCTCTGCAGGTTTCATTCCCCAAAGCTTTCCCCGTGGAAAGGGGACCCCAGAGGACCCTGGATAAGGAGGCTGAAATTCTCACCCCTTCCTTGGCCACCAGCAGCTGCTTCTCCGCATTCTGTTTCTTGATGTTGTAGTACTGGACCTCCACTCCACCGCGTGGGTCAGCTGGAGCCACTTCTGCAGGGCCTCAGGCGCAGCCCAGCTGCAGTGGGACTCCAGCTCCTTCTCGGCGTTCTTGAGTGCCATCCGCACCTGGGAGAGAACCGGCCGGCACGGCGTTGGCAGCGGCAGGGAAACACCGCCCGCCCGCCGGGGACACCTGGCCGCCGCCCGCCACCCCGCCGCTTTTAAGGGACCAGAAAAAAGAAAAAAAAAAAAAAAAAAAAGACTCCCCGCAACTTAATCTTACTCATGAGAGAAGCAAAAGTCATTAGGAGGAGAGGTGGCATCCTGGTAGTGTGGGCAAGTGACGGAGAGGAGCGCAGCAGGGCAGCCATCCAACAGACAAGGCTGCTGCTCGGATGACCAGAACAGCCTCCACTGCTTTCCCTTCCGCCTAAAGGCGAGCTCCTTCCTCAAGAATTTCCAGCCATCGCGACGCTGTCCTGCCTCAGCACCTCAGCTCTCAGGGAGGGCAAGCAGAGCGTGCACTCATCACTGACCTGGTCTGCCCTTTCGCTTCAGCTCCTCTGCTTCACAACGGTATAAATGGCAGGCAAACCCTCCGGAGCTGAAAGCACGGTGCACAATTTAGTTAGAAAAGAATTAGACTTCAGGTAAGGGTATTTAGGGTGATTATAGTAGGCTCTAGAAACCTCCGCAAAGTTTTCTGCCTGCCTGCAGGTCTGCAAAACCCATAGATTCTCCTCCTGAGGCAGAACCGCTGACAACACTGTGCAGGCAATCGCCTTTTCTCACCGCAGCTACTGAGCCAAACAGGGGGAGCTTGTCAAGAGACAACTTTCACACTGGAGCAAGATGAGAAAAATATTTAGACACAAAACATGTGCTGCTTGGTCAGGAAAAGAAATAACATGTCTGGAATCAGCAGTTTCTGTAGCTTTCTGGGGGACTCTCCCGTCCCAGCTCAGTCTCCTCCACACACCATCGGTCTGGTCTCCTCCACACACTTACTTATCTTGCTGGAGAAGGGAGTGATTACAAAATTAGAAGAAAGTGGGTGACAAGCAAGTTTAAGATACCAAAACCTTACATAAAAGCATTTAGTGCTAGAGATCATCAAGAATTAACACTTCTCTTCCATTACAGATAATGTGGAAAGACTTTAATAAACCCGAAGCCCGACACAAGCCCTGCAAGAAGTTAACGCGTCCCACACCAGAGAAACTGAGGGATGGCAACTGCAGCCCGGAGCTGCCGCAACCCAGGGACAGCACAGCGGTGGTGGACTGGACTACTTTTCAACCACAGCACCTCAAAGCTCAGGAGGGGTACACATGGTTACACACTGTACAACGGACTTCCTTGCTGTTAAAACAAAAGCCAACCCTACGCACCTTCAAGAGCTTTCACAGCCCCAGCAAACCCCGGCCCACCAACGCAGACCTTCTAACAGAGGTGGAGCTGGGAGGAACGGTCTGGCTACGGCACGGCCAGCTGTGCAGTCAGGGCCGCACACACCCGTCATGGGAGGATGCCTGGATGATGCCTGTCCTATCTTCTCTTTCTGTTCTTTAGGGTGCAGGTCTAACAAACACAGGGGCCGTGGGAGTGCGTCCTGCGACCTGCTCAGGCTCTGCACCAGACCCTTCCCAGTGCCCAACGCACGCTTCCCACGTCCGTGTTTACACCCACCCCTGCCTGCTGCCGGTGCCGCTTCGTTTCCCACAGAGCACAGCTGCAAGTGGACTGAAGATACACATTTTTTTAAAAGATTGCTCAAACTTGGATCTTTTCCCTTAACGTGTTATTTAACTCAGTCACGTCTCACCAAGTCTGGCATTGGTGTAATTGCTAGTGAGCCAAAAGCACCAGGTTACACGCAGATACTCTGAAATCCTGTATTTCATCCTGGAGGACATTTGCACAGTCCATCAGGAAGTCGCCAGGAGGCACCTCACAGAAGAGGTCAACTACTTATATCACTTATGTGTGATTTAGTCTTGCTGAGCATGACATTGCCTAAATCACTCAAAAAGTTACAAATTCAGAACCACAGACCCCAGGAAGGTCTGTTTTTTTCCCCTCTGACACCAGCAGCACCGGGTGCTGCTCCCACCACAGGCAGATCTCTGACCACGATCTGCAAGTGTCTGGGATTTAGGAATACGGACAACAAGCGGGTAGGAAACCTCCCACTAGGTATTAGGGGTAGAGGAGTGCTCAAAACATTTACAGGAACAACGTTTTTAGGGAATGGTGGAAAAGGGAAGTGGTGCAGAACAACAGCCAAGGACCAGTGGTTGAGATGAGCCATCATACAGCAGTGTCCAAAACACAAACTCTCTCTGTTCTGCAGGGGAATCAATACAAATAGGAGTTACTTTGTGTGTCTACATTCTCCTGTGATGATTTCTAAGATCCCATTTTGATCACTAAGAGCAACAATTTATAAAGCAAGGAATGCCCTCTGAGTCTGCGGCCCCGGCTGGGGTCACAGTCTGGGGGAGGATGACCTAGCGAGGAGAGAGGATTGGTACGAACAACCCAGTACGGGAGAGTCCCATCCCAGAGATCCACTGCTTCTCCATCTCATAGGCCCAACTCCAGCAGGAGCTTCCAAACCCTCCAGTATCATTTTAGTTGATAAGAATCGACTGGTGCCAAAGAAGATCTTGTTTTAATATTCTCTGGGACCCAAGAATATCTTAAAATCAGATGAGTTTTACAGTGAGTGGGAGTGACTGGTTAATGTTTTCTGTGGTCTACAGCTTGCTGGGACGGTGATCGTGTTATAATCACACAGTGTGGGTCAGGTGGGTAAAACCAATACTCACCCTGTCAATGCATCCCTCCCGAAGGCCTCTAAGAAACAACAGAGTGGTTAAGTCACCTCTGGCTTTTTGGGTTTCTTAACAAATGCAAAGTGGAGGGGATGAGACCCTGCCTTCTCCAAAAGCCAGGAGCAGGTCGGGTACAAGGGCCTGGGGTTACAAGAGGAAGGCTACACATTCTTATTTAATGGCCCACCATACAAAGTGACCGAATTTCTGTTTGTGTGAGTACAGACGTCCCAGTGCATGTCCTGGAATGGAGCCCAGTGACTCTGTGGAGAGGCTGGATGACCAGTTAGGAGGAACGATGTCGGATCATGAGAGCAAAGCTGGTAACAGGTGCCTGCGGGTGTCTGGGCTGTTGGTATTCCAAGCAGGAAGGAAATCTGCTGTTTGCTGACCATCTGCATACCTAGGCTACGCTGCCCCATGGTTCCCTGGTTACCTGGTGGCCCAGGACACCTGTTTCTCTCTTGTAAGGGGAAACCCTAGATTCTTGTCTCGTTTCCTTCCCCATCCTCCATGGTGGCATAAAAGATTGGACACAGCCAGGCGGGGAGGATGTTCTGGTGCCATGAGCATATCCAAGGTACTTGCTTGGCTCATGCAGTTCTGGCTCATGCAACTTCAGTTTAAACTGATCTATAAATTAAAGTCAGATCAGAATTGTCCCTCAGGTGAAATAGGAAGCAGCAACTGAAACTGTGGCTCTGGACCTCTCTTGTAGGTTTGGGCAAAGGGCAGTTCTGAGGTAAGATTCTCAGGTGCTCGCTCTTTGCTCTCTGTTACTGCAGGCAGGTGCCATGAGCAATGTCCGTGATTTCCATTATTTCCCTAAAGTTTTTGTTATAGGTCTAAGGGGTTTTAGATGTACGATCGGGAGCGCTTTTTCTCACCTATGACAAATTATTTTACAAATGCTCTGTGTATCCTTCTGGACAAAATGTGTTTCATTTTTGCCAGCAGTGGCATTATCCACAATATTCTGTCTAGGCCTACATTACGTATACACTTGGGGACGTGTTTTCCTGCTACTCTAAACTTAAAACGCCTGTTATTGAGAATTGCATATGAACTCTAACTTTGCTGTACAGATTCTAATCCAGGGCTAAATTTCCTGGGAAGGAAATTTCCTTCATACACCTCTCCAATCCACAAGAAAACACGGTAAGCACAACCAAACTCATTATAAATCTCTCCTAAAACCATTAACAGATACAAAAGAAAAAAGAAAGAGCTTATGGTTTGGAGTGGGTGTTAGAAGGCAGCTACAGGCCAAGTTCCACCCCTCTCCTTGGGCAGGGCAAGCTGGGACGGCGTGTGGTAGCGGCGCATCGCTCTCGAGACAGCACCGGCACAGCCCCTGCTACCCGACGCGCAAGCAGCAGTCGTACAGTAACGTGGAGCAGTGGAAGAAATACTCGGACCTTTTCCTCCACAAAGGGGAGCGGAAAAGCAAAGGCGGAAGAGCATTACAAGCAGAACATCACGGGATTTCTTGGAAGGATGAAGCAGAGTGAGGAACTGCCTACTGTTCTTGCTGGCATGTCTTGTATGTAAGTGCATCCACCTGCAACCCTTACCTGCTCCAGTTCTTGCTCAGCGTATTTCTGCCTGCTCAGTTCATTCTCCGTGCCCTCCCGCAGTTCTCGGAGCCGGTGTGCCTCCTGCTTGGCAATGCTGATCTCATCTTGCAGTTTCTTCTCCAGGTGCACCTTCTCCACCTCCACAGAGCGATGCTCCTCCTGCGCCTTCTGCAGCCTGCAACACAGAGAGACCCAGAGCCCAGTGCTGTGCGTGCCGGGCTATCTGCAGGCAGCTGAAGGCGTGCACAGTGCAAGGGCTGGCCAGCCACAATCCAGACCAACCCTGCTCTTATTTACTCTGTGTTGATGTCAACAGAGATCTGTATTTGGAAAGTCAAGGAGAAAGTTCACTGTGCCCGGGAAGAAATTAAATTGTCAACTCTACGGTCTCAACTTCATTTCATTTATTAAATACTCAGTACATATTTTCTTAATTTTCCAAAGCACATCAAGATTTCCTATAATAAGCCTCAAATTGATCTGAATTTTCAGTGTTTTCACAAAAGTGAAGACCTTTTCCTTTAATAAAAAAAGGAGGGGAAGATCTGCCTGAGCAGGTATGACCATCCAGATGGACGTCTCCATGATAACTTTGCAAAATCCTTCAAATTTAGACATGTCTTAATCTTGCCTGGAAGTTATTATTTTTCCTCATGACATAATTAAATCAGTAGGAATTATATATGGCAACAAAAAGCGATAACAGATTATTTGTACCCGTTCAGGAAGGTTCAACCATTCAGTCTGGAAAGCCCCAGCCCTCTGAAGGAGACACCACCGCAGCCACAGCGAGATGTTGCAGGGTTTCTACAACGTTTGCATTTCAGGGGAGCTGCACGAGCGTAAACCCAGTCCTCGCTCAAGTTCAGTGAAATCAAATTCGCATCAAGAACGAACCTGGCCCATGCGGGACTGAGCTGCCCTGACAAGGCGTGGTAAAGTCTGGGTGTAAACAACCTCTAATGCCAGCAGTGCCTTTTCCAAATACAGTCCCAAACCCATGTGCTTCTAGAGACACAGTGACTGCCAAGTAAAAGGTGAAAAATAAGATTTGGCAAATATTTGGTTGAAATTAAATGAAGAGGTTCACTTCATAATGAAGATTCTGAAGAATCGTGTTGAACAAGTACTACCAACGAAAGAAATAAGAGTATTAATGGGCTTCTTGCAAGAACCAGCCTAATGATGACTCAAATGAAAAGTACCTTTTTTTCTTTTTTTAAAATGGTGGCAACAATTAAACCCTGGATCAAATTTCTGAGGAATGTGGTACATCCATCTTTGGATAACTTCAAATCAAGATGTGATGAGTTTCCAGAACATGTACTGGATTGAACACAATGGAGTGTTGTGGCTTACGCTGTCAGAAACCAGGCGCATCAACCTAACAGTCCCACCTTTTAAACGTGAACTTCTCTTTCAAAAGTCTCAGTTATCACAGTTTGAGATAAATCAACACAAGGTGGACAAAACCATACTGTAGGAGCAGCAGAGGCAACGCTACTTTTAACCCAGACCAAAGTGAGGAAAACCTCTGTTTTCTGCCATGAGAAGGAAAGCTCAGCTCCCCACCCAAACCAGCCCCTTCTCCCAGCACACACCTCCTGCCCTGCCAAGGCAGCTTTTCTAGGGATCAGCGGGATCTTAAAGAAGGTGCTAACCTACACTGAAGCTACCAGCAATGGTTGTGAGGCTAGCAAGTCATCAGCTTAACCTGCAAAAGCAGTAGCAGCTTACAGCAGATAGATTTTCAGTGACCAAATAAAACTATCCACAAAATGAAAAGAAAAATACCGCACCCTAAACCCCCAAATGGAATCATCTGAGCCAGAAATAAGTATTTCAACATCATAAAATCTCCTCTCACTCAAGATCATCAACATCCAAACTGGAGAGCAAACCAACAGAGCGATGTGTGGGAGAGACAGACAAGAGGGGACAGCAAGGTCTGCCTCTGGGTGTGCCGTACCTGGGCTGTCAACGACAGGTAACACACCTTGGGAGGGCTCTCCTGGGCTTCCCGCGTGGCTCCCGCTCATCCCAGACCAGCTGGGGACTAACAGAAAGGGAAAAACTGATCCTCAGTTGCTACAGACGCTGCTCCCTGCAGCACACACAGCAGTGTCCATCTTCCAGCCTCCTATCGAGGGACAGCACTTGGTTGTGCTTTTGGGAACGGCGCACAGCCCGTCTGCAGACTCGCGGCAGGGACCCATCGCTACCTTTCGGGTCAAGAGCGAAGCCGCTCACTGTCCCAGCCAAGGGCTCCTCTTCCTCAGGCTCCTCCTCGACATGCAGATGGCCATTTAAAACAGATTGGATGGGCTGGACTCTGATCAGCCATGGTACTGGCGCTCTTCTTGGAAAAGGCTCATTTTTAATTTACAGCTTTGTTGAGAAACTCCAGTGTTTTTCTTCCAAATTTAAAGAGACTCTTGCCAAGACATTCCAAGTTTTTAGGCAAACCCACGCTCTCTGCCCTGTGAATCAGTGCTAAAGCTCTTCCATACTAGGCCTGTAAGAATCCCAAACCACCAAAGTATCTCTGTTTAAAGGAGAAATTCCCCCATACTATGACACAGAAGAAGGAATGGATTTTATCCTGAAGATAATTCTCAAAGGCACTCTAACATTGTATTTTCCCTTACTACTGGCTGTTTTTCCTGACAGCAGAGCCCATATTTTCTTATGTTGGTTATGGACAAAAGGACACTTTGTCTGTACATTCCCGTTCAAACCCAACTGACTGAGCCACACCGGTTTCACGTGTGCTGAGCTCCACGAGACAGTGGAGTGCCTGCAGAGCTACACTTGTAATGAGGGCAAGAAATCAAGGTCCATCTGGGGTTTCACAATTCCGGAGCAGATCTTCGATACAGTCAGTAGATCTTCAATACAGATCTTCACTCAATCTTCAGTCATCAGTAGGATGTGCTAAGACAGGAACTTTTTTATCTTGATGGGTCATTTAGTTGACTGGGAAGTGTTACTGTTGAACGATGTTCTCAAAGGTATTTTGAAGATGAACAAAAAATAGCTTTTTATATCAATCTTCCCAGTTCTTCAAGAGTGTATCAGAGCTGTTCATCAAATAACTGCGCTAGCAGTTGGTAGGCAAGTGGAAAGGCATCACATGCCTTCTGGAGGTCTGTTCAGCATAGTGTTTCAATGAGCCAGGAAAGGAGGTTACTTCAAGCTCTAGAAAAGAAGTTTCTGAGCAGACCTTCAGAACAACTTCTACACAAGTCCATGGGAACCAGTGCTGTTGGTAGTTTTTGCCATTTCTATGGTGGCTGAGGACCACAGCCAAACCTCTGTGAGGTGCAAGGATGAAGACGTGAAGGCATATTTCCCCCTTCAGAGGAGAATTAGATCAATCCTGTGCCAAGAGGCCCCACAAGGTCCATGAATTCGCCTCCCACTTCTTGAGCTCCAGCTCAGCTGGGGTGCAAGGATGAAGAGGTGAAGGCATATTTCCCCCTTCAGAGAAGAATTAGATCAATCCTGTGCCAAGAGGCCCCACAAGGTCCATGAATTCGCCTCCCACTTCTTGAGCTCCAGCTCAGTGCCCCCTGCAGAGGACATGCCCTCCCAGCTGCACACCCTGCAGAAACATCACAAGCTGCTCTGGCTTAAGACTCACGCTATGCTTAGCATACACGGGTTTGTGTTTCTTCCTATCTGGCTTTAGAGCATTAGTTGAAGTTCCCAACACATCTACTTGTTTACGTGGCTCTGCCCTCGGCAGCAGATCCCAAGGTCGTTCCCCACATGGCACATTCACAGCAACCGGCGTTTGGACCTCTGGTGTGACCTGCTCTTCAGTGACACCCAGGAGAGATCTCCTGCCATGGATGCAGCTCTGCTGCTCCAGGAGATGGACATTGAGAAGGAATTCCCGTGTCATTCTGGCCGTAGAAGAAAAATAAATAAATCTTTTTCTTTGGGGTATTTCCAACCTGTCATATAAAATTACACAAAGCTTTGTGAAACCAGCTGTGGCTTAGAGTTGGCTCCAGGGTAGGCAGAGGAGCAATGCACTTTATTCTATCTCTATGCCAAAAAGAAAGCAGGTCACATATCTGCATTACGGCCAGGGGAATGAGCCCAGTTTGGCACCGTGATCTTGGTACTCTCTCAGGTGTTTGCTCTCCACATAGACACCAACTGATGCGATCACACTCGAAGAAGAAAGCCTTTCGAGCAACACTGATGTGCAGGACCATTCCCTAAAGGCTGTCATGGGCACGTAGGCAAGAAATCAGGCTGCAGTCTTGTGGGTATGTCGTACGGTTTCCAACGACTCGGCGGTTTGCAAAAGCCTCCACGGCAGATTAACATCCCGGGGATCGTGGTGTTTGCACAGGTCGCTCGTTACACCACCCGTGCGCGGCCAGCACGTGGACCTGCGGCCGGGCTCCGCTTTCTGAGAAGCCACTGGGAATGCAGCTGTCGGCTTATATGGCAGCCAAATTAAGGTTTATCTTCCAAAATTACACTTAGAACTAATGAAAAATAGTTACAGCCCAAGACTATCATGCTCTGTTATTTGCTAAATCTGCCCTTAAAAAATATCTTATTGCCAAAAACCCCCACTGGTTTGTCATCAACAGTCTTGAATGTTCTTTTCTTTCCTAGAGGACACCTGTGACTACAGAGGGCCTCTTTTGCAGCATGCTCTCTCCTAAGTAGTTTTACTGGAACCATTGCAACCATTTCTGTGAGTAGAGGTCACATTCCTGAGGCTACTGTATTTTGCCCAAGTGCCTAGAGTTCAGATATTCATATTTAATACTCAGGAATTATTTATTTTTTTCCATTCTTCCCAAGCAACCCTCCTGGATTTAGGTATCACCGTGCAGGCAGGGAAGCACAGACTTTTACACACGGCTCAGAGAATTCAAGAAGGGATGTGTAATTCCTCTGACGGCTACCACTGTTTCGGCATGCTTCTTCCCTGTCCAAAGCCAGGGTGAAACAACCTGATCAGCCTGGATGACAAATTCTCTAAGTGAGGTGGGCTACCTTACACTCCTTCAAGAGGCTCCTCTTCCCCTCTAGGTACAGATTTACACTGTAATTTCAGGGGGTGGGGATCCTGATGTACTTTCAGTACGAGTCAGACTGCGAGTAGAAACCACTGTATGTTTCACTGCTCCTACGTAATTAAATGTGGTAAATAAATAGGAAGTACCTATTTGAAATACTGCACTCAAAACCAAGAGTGACCGCTGTCGAGTACAGAAGGAGCGCTGCTATTCATTTTGCTCAGTTGAATGTTTTGCTCCTTAAAGCAGCAAAGTTCTGAGAGAAGGGAGGAGAGCGAGCTCTCACACACCAACAGCAGCAAAACTAAACAGAGTCAAGTCTTCCCAGAAATTCAGAAACGATTTTTTCGAACCAGTAATGACCATTAGATCAGAACTGGAACAAACAGACAAAACATAACATAAAAACAGCACGGGAAATAAACAAAACTGCATGGGAGCACGTACGGCCGCACTCGACTACACGTCAGTGTGTGCTGGAGCCCATCTCGGAGCAGGAGATGCTGGTGTTGGACATTGTCACTTCGCTCAAGTGGCTTCATTGCCATGTTTCAGGACTGCAGTAACGTGAGTGAGTTTTTACCACCTGGGCCTTCACGTGGCACTCCGCGAGTACAAATTACTGGCACGTCACCACCAAAGAGCAGGCCAAGCGAGCACGCACACATCTTTACGTGTCGCCTGGTAACTGAATTCATTCGCGAGCCAGGCACCCATCCATGCTGTGAAGGGTGGCTGGCAGGTTTGCTACGGTTGCTCAGGAAGGTGCTGACTGTGGTACACAGCAGCATGACAGCTAAAAGGAAAATCTTTCCTGAAATCTAAATGAATAACAACCTTGCAGGAAAGATGAATGTTGAATGTTCCAACTGGGTGGACGCATAAAACCTACCTTTCTTGAAGGTCGTGGAGAGACTGCTCAGCTCTGTGGAGTCCCTCCAGGTCTTTCATCATCTTCTTCATGTGCTCCTTCGAATAGCGATTCTGGATGTAGGCAAACCAGCAGCCACCCACTCCGATGACGATGGAGACCACCAGCATGAAGTCCTTCAGGTGGTTGTGACGAGTTACTGGAAGAGACCAGAGATACTACTGAATTCAAAAGAACATGATGATTAACTCCGCAATGCTTCACCCGCACCTGAGCTGGACACGGGAACTTAAGACAGTGTTAGAAGGAATTGTGGCCCAGGTTTCAGAAAGGGAAAAGATGAGCTACATTGATATTTAAGGGAAAAAAAAGAAGCTTGACAACGTTTATTCAAAAAAAAAAAAAAAAAGGAAGCTGAGATTAAAAATCTTGTAGATATAATTTGCCTGGCAATACATGATATAGGAGAGCCTCCACAGAGGAACCCTCAGAACAGCTGTGCTCTTTTAGGATAATACAGATAACTCTTATATCTTTGCATTCAATGTTAAGAAGAAAATAACTTTGTTGAAAAAATAAGACTGTGATCATAGAGACGAGGCAGATCAAGTATCAAACCGTCGAGTTGCAAAACTTTCCACCAGAATTACAACTCAATGTGGAAACCTCCTTTTTCAACAGTCTGCAAAACACAATTATTTAAAAGAAAGTGTGGATGCATGTGAGAGAACAAAAGCAAGTGAGGGTTTAAGTGCTACACAAAACCCAAAAATATGATTCAAGCAGAGTTTTTTTTTACTGTTTACTATTTAGCAAATCCTCAAACAAGTATGTCCTGAGAAAGCTAAAAATGAGAAAGAGCAGCTTAGTCGACCTAGCTGTGACTAAACTTTCAGTATCTACTGGTTTTAAACCAAAGGAGAGGAGATTCAGACTAGATATAAGGAAGAAATGTTTTATGCTGAGGGTGCTGAGGCAGTGGCAGAGGTTGCCCAGAGAAGCTGTGGATGCCCCATCCCTGGAAGTGTTGAAGGCCAGGTTGGATGGGGCTGTGAGCAACCTGGTCTGGTGGAAGGTGTCCCTGCCCAGGGCAGGGGGCTGGACCAGAGGAGCTTCAAGGTCCCCTCCAACCCAACCCCTTCTGTGATTCTATGACCCCATACGTTGCAAACCCCGCTCATACAGCTGCTCCCTGCAGTACTGACAACGCAGTTGGTACTTGGATGGACAAGACTGACGGGACAATTCAGGTTGGCAGCTACAGGTGAAGCGAAAGAGCCATTACAGGCACAACCAGAAAACCTCTTTGCTTCCCCTGAAGCAGAAGCAGGGTTTTTTAAACACAGAAATGTACGTACAGAACCTGTCCCCTCCCTTTGCTGCTGACCCCGAGAGCACAGAGTGGCACAGCCAGGTCACCTCTGGATTCCGAGCAGCCAGAGAGCTGCCAGCGGCTACGGCCACCAAAGCGCTCGCTCTCCGAGCAACTGCAAACCACGTGCTGTAACGTAAATTCAGTTACTCTAAAAGGAGTCAGCAGTGTTATTTTCCCCACATCGATGCAACATCCCTCCCTCTGCCCTGCACCTGGTCTGGAGGATACCTCAACTCAGCATGCACGAGATGGGCTGCACCCGAAGCAGCACCCACCACCACAAGAAAAACACTTTAGCGAGGCACGTCCTCCCTGCCGGGTGCTCTCAGCAATACCTGCCTGCCTGCGGGGCAAATGCGTCACAGTGGTCTGGCAAGCATGAGCAGGACTCCCCGAAATGAGCTTCTGACACGTCAGGCTCACGACCTGCACGGCACAGAGCAGTGTGCTGGCACCGGGAGGTCACAGCAGCGAGGAGAGCTTAAAATGGATGGGAACTGCACCCTGTCGTTTTCCATAACGAGTGGACATGGAAAAACCAACGACCAGACATTTTAAAGATGACACAAGAAGTTGATTATGAATAGCCTTTTTTCATCTAGAATTTTAAAATACTTTAAGACAAATGAAATGCCATAACCCACTACAGGCAAACAAACACTGGATGCATTTCGTAGGGGAGCGAACCGAAGCACAGAAGCAAGTGATGCTGTGCAGGTCAGCCTGCGCAGGGACTGTATCTCTCCCACTCCATCCATGGGCACCGGGCAGCTCTGGTGCATGGCTGGAACCAGCTCTCAATCACCGAATCACTTCGGTTGGAAAAGACCTTTAAGATCATCGAGTCCACCCTGCAGGAGAAGCTACGGCTGACACCGGAGGCAGGAGCCGGCGTGGCTGTGCTCTGTTCCCAGCTCTTTCGCGCACTCCCTCATTCACAGGTATGTGTTCTGCGTTTGAGGGCAGCAAGGCAGAGCCCGTGTCGGCTGGGCAGACGCCAGCTCCCACCGCCGCCGGGACCACGAGGCAGAACCAGCCCCAGGTCTGGAGGGGCCACTGCACAGCTGAGTAAGTTCCCAGCTGGGAAGAGCTCGATTGCCACTGCTGCTTGGGTCCCTGCCCGTCTGCGCACCGCAGGCGGGCGTACAGGAATGGATTAAGCATAAAATCCCACCTGGGCTGCAAGTTTCCCAACACTTTTCGTTTAGGGACCGTCAGGGGGCTTGTGAACATTTATGCAAGGTACTGCTATGCCACACTTGCCAGATGACTTCTGTCACGGCCCTGAGAAACCAGCTCCTTCATCTCACACAAAATCCTTCAGCTCTTTGTTTCCACTTACGGCGACACATCGACTGCTTCCTTGTGAACCGAGAAGCAACAAGATGACGGTGGTGCTCTCGCTGCACGGAGTTTCTCCAAAAAGCCTTTCCACCTTATTTGAAGTTTTAGAGACTTTAAAAACTTGTTGATTACACCAAATTTGAAATGGATCTCTACCAAAAAAATTCTGACATCATTTTATTAATTTTAATAAGTACTTCCTTCACTGCATTATAATGTAGGTAAGAGTCCCTTAAATCCCTCTTTGATACCTTAAAATAGAAGTAACAAACATGACCCCCCACCCCCCAATAATCCTTCCCTCCAAACGACACACACATAGCAAATTTAGCCTTTCATTTCCCTTCCTTGTAATTTCTGCAAGCATTTAAAGGCTTTCCCAATATATCAAGATACACGCTTTCGTAATGCTTAGGTCTAAGATTAAGCTTTGCACAACACAAGAGAGAATTGCTCAGCTGGCCTTTTCAATTTGAAACTCGCATTTATCACATCACAGTGACAGCGAAGGCTCTGACAGACCGCGGCTGAAGTCCCCTGCTGGGTATACTGAACTACGGCAAAATCCCCAACAGGCAGTCAAGAGAGAAAGAACTACGCAAAGGCACAGTGGTTCCTTCAAATGGCAAGGATTAAGATAGGACCACTCTGTTCCCCAACAATAAATTAGTATGTTCATTTCTAACAGGGATACACACCCTGCTCCACTCAGCACTCGTGTTCTCTCAGTTTTGTGAGAAATCCCAAGATGTAAAACACAAAGACTGCACAGAACAGCATCAGAATCCAATCTTCTTCCCCAGGAAACTCAAGAACCAGGTAAATTTACAAGAGGAACAGAGACTTCACCTTGTAAGAAGAGGTCTAAAGACATTTCTCAGGCTGTTGAGAAATAACTGGTGTCAGGTCTCCTGTCAAAATCTTTAATAAAAAGTAAAAAAAAAAAAATAAATTTACTTCCATCGTTTGGAGGGATGAGGACTTTCACAGCTGAGGCAGGACCAGCTTCTGTTGTACCCTCAAATCTCCTGATGCCCTAGTGAAATCAAGTACAGGGACACAAGACGTTTGCTTTAACTCATCCCCAAATCACTCCCCATGAATCTCTATTTCAGTCAAGACATAAGATGCAGAAACTAACGGTTATTGCCGGTATGCAAAAGCAGCAAAAGGTAACAAAACGATGAAAAAGTGGTAAAGGAGGATGCTACATGTTTTAATTAGGAGAAAAAGCTTGCTGGATTTGATACAATTCAGTATTTGGGGGAAGGTGGGCTGGAAATATATTTTTACATTCTCATGCATCTCCAATAAATGACATACTTGGGATTTCTCCTAGCAAAGGGAGAACAATAGCAGGGACTGTAAGAATATCTCCATCAAGCACAGATAATAGGTTAAATCAACATTTTCTTTTTCACATACTGAAGCTGTCATGTAACTGATACAGGGATTCCTTAACAGTTTGGTTACAAAGCCACAGACAGAATATTCCGGTACTGTCAAGAAGAATACAAATACGGACACACAAACACAAAGATTTGGCCAAAATGACTCATTCCTAGTTGAAGGCTTCAGATGAAGCTTCATGTAAAGGCATGTGTCTTTAATAAGGAATATATTGCCTTATGCCACAGGGGCAGACACGAACTGGAGAAGACACAAGCCTGCAAAACACGGTACAGCAAAGCAGATCGCACTAAGCTAAACTCAAAAGGTACAGAGAGAAGAATAGGTGTGTTACAGAAGTAAGGCATTAAACCTTGGATTAAGAAAAAGCCTTGCATTGGATCTTGGTTTTCCGATTTATATATTTTTAAGCAAAGAGCTGATGTGCCATAACTGGGAAAATATGAGGCTTTTAACGGTCGGTTCCCCCAAGCAGCAGATGACGACGCATACGCTCCAACTGCATCCTAAGGGATACATCGCACGGAGCTCATTACCAGTGACACCCACTGCCTGCAGTGATCTTTATTGGGTCAAACCCCAGTGACGGCACCGGACTCCATCCCGCGACTCCTTCTGGGCACAACCCATCTTGGGTTTCTCTGTAGCTCTCACTCCACTGTAAGGGAAATCAGTCTGAAAGTGCGTTAGTCCAATGGGGCCACCCTCACTAGCAGAGAAATGATTTCGGGAGCAACTTGAGTGGGTTGCTGCCATCTGCGGCTGGTAGGAATTGCTCTGGTTGACTGAGAGCCAGAAATGAGGAACACACGTAAGCCAGCACAAGAAACAGATGTACAGCAGCCCAGTATCCTGGCTTTACAGAAATATACTGATGTGACGTGATGGACAGTCTGCTTATAGAAATCTGAGATCTTCTGGAGCAGAGAGACTGCCCAAAGAACTCAGGGAAAACCCACAGGCATGACACGCACATCGTCAGTGAGGCTGGCTTCTTTCTGCAGCTGCACTCAGGCGTAAGGCAAAAGGCTGTGCCCGAGGAGCCCGCATGGCACCCGAGGTGGTGGTCC